TGTGTGTGTGTGTGTGTGTGTGTGTGTGTGTGTGTGTGTGTGTGTTAAATTTAACTTCAAGAACTGGCAAAGTTGCCAGCATTCATGCTCAGCTAGAAAACATTTAATTCTTACTAACCTATGAATGTATTGCCATTGATACAGTAATGTCTTTTCTTTCTAAGTACTGAGAAAAATGAACTATTATGAGTAAGATTTATCTTGGCAATGTTAATTTCACCGCGAGCTAACACTACTCTGCTCACATTTCAACGCAATGGGAAACAGATCCATGCCGGTGTTAGAGCACAGTTTTGTGTTAGCCCTCCCTGGTCACTCTTGATTAACCTGGGATTGCATTTCTAGGCCCCTATTTGTCATAAGTTTTTGAGTTTGTGATTGGGATCACAAAAAAGAACCATTGTGTGTGTGTGTGTGTGTGTGTGTGTGTGTGTGTGTGTGTGTGTGTCTTTGAAATTGTGATCTCAGTCTGCTTTTCTAAATCCCTTTTTAAAGGTTGATTTATCATCACCAGGAGAGGGTGTGCATGCCACGGTGAGTGTGTGGAAAGTAACTTGAGGGACCACTTCTCTCCCAGCAGGTCGTTGAGGCAGGGTCTTTCTTACTTTTGCTGTGCAGTATGCTCCTAGGTGGCTGGCCCAGGAGCTTCTAGAAGAGTTATTCCCCTGTCTCCACCTTCCATCTTGCCACAGGGGTACTGGGATTGCAGATATGAGCCACCACATCTGACTTTTTTTTTTAAGATTTCTTTATTTATTATGTATATATACACGAGAAGAGGACATCAGATCCTGTAATATGGTTGTGAGCCACCATGTAGTTGCTGGAAATTGAACTCAGGACCTCTGGAAGAGCAGCCTCTGAGCCATCTCTCCAGTCTCCCCCCCCACACACACACACATCTGACTTTTTGTGAGTCTCGAGATGAGACTCATATCATCAAGCCTGCACAGCATGCACTTTTATTCACTAAGATATATCACCAGCCGATGAAGTTGCTTTTTAAAAAGTACCTGTAATAAGTTGACTGTTACTGGCTATGACCACATATAGAGAGCTACTGCTTCTCCACAAGGGTGGGCTCAGGGTAAAGTTGGGGTAGAATGGGAATAAGGAAGAGATCAAGTCTAGATTCCAGGGATGGATAGGAAAACAGATTCCTTCCCTGTATGAGAACAATGAGGACCTACCTGTGTATAAAGCATATGCTCTAGCCTGTGCACTAAACCCACTCCTATTTTTTAATTCACTTTAGTTCCATAATAATTTTTTTGGCTTTTAAAGACATAGAAATTACTCAAGAAGATTTCTATCTGAATGTAAATCTACCTGCTGGAGCAGGACACCTTTGGCGTCTTCAGACCCTATGGGTGGATCTTGGGGGATACTCAGTATAGACATACCTACCACCCCCAGTGGTGGAAAAGAGAACAGCAGGTGTGTACCTGAGACCCCTTCCTGGGGTCTGGTATGGCATCCAAGCAGGCAGGGATGCTAGCGCAGAGACTGGAGCAGGCGATGGGGAACTGGTAGCTGGCTGACCAGGAGCACGCAGCAGGGCAGCAACTCATCCACCTGTCAGAGCTCTAAGAGATTAATTTAGGAGTAGGAACTTACTTAAACTAGTTCCCACAAAAAGAATCAGTCGCTAACTCAGCTCTAAGGCAGGCAACAGTAGTCAGAACTTGAGCCCCAGATCAGCCAGCCCCAGATTCCCCGGATCTGGGCTTCTCTTGCCTTTAACTGCAGCGATGTGTGGTCCCTGGATGGAGGCTGAGTCAGAAGTTAGAGAGGAAGAAGTCAGACGTGCAGTGAGCCCTGTTCTCAGTCACAGAACTAAGGACATTTTCACGGACCGAAAATTGCATGTAATCATGAGTGCAATGGAAAAGGCGCAAGGTGAGAATCATGAATAGAAATGTTCTTTGCGGAATCAGCAGTCATGAACCTGTTCTTCACGGGACTGAGAATGGAGGCCTAAAGCAAAGTTCCCAGCAGTGAACACAGCTTTTTAAGAAGATCCTTGGCAAATAACAGCACATAAGAGAGACGCCTTGACAATAGAGCGGGAAGATTGCAATGTAATAGCACAGTGGGAACGGGAGGGTGAAGGGGGTGGAAGCTGCTTAGGCTTTGAATCAGAAGACAGGCATCAGCAGGGGTAAGGGTGGATTTACAACCTGCTTAAGCCAGTTGGAGAGGATAACATTAGACCCCAGAAGGAAGAACCAGAACACACAGGCAGAAGTCGTCACTTTAGAAGGGTGGGCGATGTAACAATCCACAGTCAGAAAGAGAAACGGGACTTCGGGTAGGGGTGTGAGTCCCTGGTCCCCAGGAAGCTGGGAAACAATAGAGGAAATGCATGCCTGTGATAAAGAAGAACAAGAAGAACTCTCCAGACCCTCTCCCTCACAGGTATTTTTCCCTCTGATACCTAACTGTCAAAGCATGGGAATAGTGAGGAAAAACATCACATGCAGAGAGTGCCCTCCTGTTGCAGGAACTTTTTCTGGGGCGATGTAAATAAACAGCTACCCGATCCTTACAAGGTGCCAATGGCAGACCAGAGTGCAATTCTGCCAAAGTCCAACTCGGGAAACCAATGGCTTACTTACATAGCACAGGGGAGGGGCTGCTTACAGGAGCATGGCTGGTACCAAAGCAGCCGAACCAACAGAGAGTCTCATCCCAGCATGGATTGCGACTTCCTTGTAGCTGCACAGACAGCGTCCACTTCAGTGGGTCTTCCACGGTCCATGAACTCTGGCATCTCCCTAGACAAGAAGGTAGCGTATAATTAAGGCAGAATCCCATATAAGTGGCCAGAAGGTCCTGAAGGGAGTGACTGAAATCCCAAGTGAGGGTCCAATGACCCACTCCACAACCTCCTTCTGTGAGGGAACATGGGTATCAGCAGGCCCAGTCTTGAGGGCCTCTTGCAAGTCGGTACAGCTTTGCTGATGAGCGTGGTGGGCGCCTTGCTTGGAGGCTAATGGCATCACCACCTCCACGAAGAGCAATCCCTCAGCAGTGTAAAGCAGGCAGCATGGAACTTACAGGGACCAGGGGTGCTGGCCAGTCAGGCAGTATAGTTGGCATCCTTAAGACTGTGTTCTCAGTCCTGCCCTTTTCCTATAACTGGCCTGTCTGCTCACCAGCCGCATGTCTACAAAAGCAGCCACCGTACTGCAATTGGATCGGGACACCTGCCAGGGCCTAGTTGCCTGACCACAACTGGCTGGCTATGGCGCTTATCCCGTGGCTTTGAGGGCACCACATGTTGCGGTAACGCCCGCATTACCGATACCCGTTCACCATGTCCAAGCGAGGGGCTGCAGATTAGAAAATAAGAGACAAGAGACAGCAAGTCATTTGCCAAGGCTGAATGCCGAATGCCAAGTGCCCTTTATTGAAAGAGGGAGGAAACCTTAAATACAGGCTTACAGCACAATGGAGGCTCCCTGGAGGGCAGCAGTTCGCTACCGAATGTTCTACATTCTTGCATCTAAGTTGTTTACACCAAGTGCAGGATACAGGAACAAAGAACCTCTGGTGATCTCTCTGGTGATCCTTAGGTGAGAAGGAAACCGGCAGGGAATCTGAATAGGGAGGACATCTGGTCAAGGTCGGCAAGCAAGGCGGCAGCCACTCACAGTGGGGGGGCCGGGGCCCACAACCACACAGAGGTGGGTAACAACCTCACTTTGCACAGTAGGTCTTTCATGAGCATTCTGGAGTCTGGGACCCTTGGCGGCTGAGTCCACCTACATTCCTGTTTCCAAGTGAGAAGAGACCATGTTTGTGGAGACAACTGAGAAGAAAGGGCCCTGAAGGGATACATGAGACAAAGACTGAGAGATGGAGTGAATCCTGACCACATGTGCGTTCCATGATCCTTGAGTTCCCAGAACAAACTCATCCCTATCCTGGAGTCACGCCTTGATGCCCATAAGAAAGTCCACCTCAGTTTAAGCGGGACAGAATGAAATTTCTGTCTACCAAGAAAGCTTAAGCCAATTGCAAACGTCTGTGTACTATAATGGGTGGGCTTTGTTGGACTCGTGAGAACAGAAATGGGTGCTGGCAGTAGACCGAGGGATGGGCTGTGACACTCCCTGTCTGACCACCCACAGAGACCGATGCCTGAGAAGTTGCTCAAGTTACTCTGGAGCTGGTCCCTTGGCCGAGGAACAGATGCCGCACCACGCAAAATGTGACTTAATTTTATTAGCCATCTCCCATTTGCCAAAATGTGTTCTTGCCAGAAGTGCCAGCCCATCGGGGCTGTGAGTTCATTAAAACTAATGTCCCATGAGGCCAGGAGAGAGTCGCTGGCCACCTGACAGACTGTGTCCTGGTTTTCCCGAGCAGGGCCACAGGGCTGAGCTGTCCCAGGAGCCACTGTCCTCTGCCCCCCCCCCATCTGAACTGGGATATTCTATAGGAATGGCTTTTACTGGTGAGTGGTAGCCCAAGGGCCTTAAGAAACATTCTTGCAGTCAGATGTAGGGGAGCACATCCCTATAGCCCTAGCATTCAGGAAGCAGAGGCAGGTGAATCTCTCTTTAAGTGTGAGGCCAGCCTGGTCTACATAGTGAGTTCTGTAACAGCCAGGACTTCATAGAAAGGCCCTGTCTCAAAAGAAAAGGAAAGAAATGTCCTCATAACTCCGGCACCTTCCATACCTCATGCTGCCCATGCCCACACCTGCCATAAAGAAAGGGCTACCTCCTCTACAGTGTATAGTCAGTTCAAAAGAATCAACCCATCTTTCCTCCTCTTCCTTGCTATTTTCGGGGGTGGTTAAGCAGCTGCTCACCCCCTCACACAGATTCCACGAGGTTTAATTACCTTCTCGCATTAATAGCAATATTTTCCCCCTTTGAGGCAAAAGTTAATCTTTATAATGAACTAGTAGTAATGGGTTCAAAGTGTCCAGGGGAACCCCTCAAACACCCACCCCCCACACACACACATACACACCACACACATGCACACACACACACATATATACACACACATACACACACACACACACATACACACCACACACATGCACACCACACACACACACACACACACATGCATACAGACTCTCTCTCTCTCTCTCTCTCTCTCTCACACACACACACACACACACACACACACACACACACGTGCACACACACTCACACACCTCGGCTTGGCAGCAGGAGCCCTGTTCCCATCCACCGTTTCACACTCCACTGGGAATATGGCCCACCAGGTCCAAGGCTTCTCATACTATCACTAACAAACATACTCACCTGGAGCGTTTTTCTCCACCTTTGCATGGTTTGCTGAAGTCTTCTTGTGCTACAGTTATATATTCTGGGTCAAGCATCTCTCTGTTAGTCCTATCCCTGAGCTTAGGACCATTTTACAATAATTGTGTCATGCATTCACATAGCTGGACAGATTTGTATCTTTAGAAATAATCCAAGTCAAGAATTGCCAGAGTCTTTGTGTGACATATAATAATAGGCACTTGATTCAGCACAAAGGGAGACAGAATCCTCTGGTTTTTAACCACCCTCTAGGGTAGCAGTTCTCAACCTGTGAGCCACAGCCCCCACAGGGGTCACATATCAGATAGCCTGCGTGTCAAATATTTACATTATAATTCATAACAGTAGCAAAATGGGGCTGGAGAGATGGCTCAGAGGTTAAGAGCACTGACTGCTCCTCCAGAGGTCCTGAGTTCAATTCCCAGCAACCACATGGTGGCTCACAACCGTCTGTAATGGGATCTGGCGCCCTCTTCTGGCCTGTAGTCATACATGCTGCATACATAATAAATAAATCTTTAAAAAAAAAAAAAGTAGCAAAACGACAGTTACGAAATAGCAACGAAAATAATTTTATGGTTGGGGGTCACCACCACATGAGGAACTGTATTGAAGCAGCGTTAGGAAGGTTGAGAACCTTCTAAGGGAAAGCAACATAGTTAAGCCTTCAGGATTTCCTCTTCTGTCTTTATCTTTCATCGTCCAAACATATCTACTTCATTCAGTCACCCTGGGTTTTCCCACAGGGCCAGTGTCTAGCAGTCAGAAGTTCAGGGGCTCCAACCTTTCCAGCTTCGCTCCCTGAGAGGAAGGGAGTGACTTGATTCTGGGGAGAAACTCTATGGTCCTAGCTGGCTTGGGATGTGTGTGGCTTCTGTGGAGCCGGGGCTAACAGGAAGGGATGGAGCTCCCCCTGCAGGAGGGAGGACTGTACTGGGAGCTGTGCCCCAAACAAGCCATCATTCCCACAGGATGGAGAGGGTTCTGGGAAGATGCGAACATCCGGGGTGCAGGCTCCTTGTGTTTTCCAGAACAGGAGGCAGAGCTTGGAAGGGTGCCTTATCTGAGCATGGTTCTCCAGGCTGGAAGGATTGAGTCCTCCCTGGGCAGTCATAGCCTCCAGCACAAAAGCAAACAACGTTCCAACAATTAGTTGTACATTGGGGTGTGTGCTGGCTCGTTTTGTGTCCATTTGACATGAGCTAGAATCATTTAGGAAGACAAACCCTCGATTGAGAAGACACCACCACCTGTGGGCAAGCCTGGGGCGAGTTTTCTTGATTGATGATTGATGTGAAAGGGCCCGGTTCACTGGGGACTGTACCACCCTTGGGCTGGTGACGCTGAGTTTTAATAAGAAATCAGACTGAGCAAGCCATCCCTAGCAATCTTCTTCAGTGGCTTCTGCTCCAGTTCTTGCCTCAGGTTCTTGCCCCGCTTGACTTCCTGCCCTGACTTCCCTTCATGATGGCCCGTGATCAGAGCGTGTGAGGTGAAATAACTCCATTCCTTCCAAGTTGGTTTTGGTCCTGGTGTTTTATCACAGCAATAGAAACCCTTACTAAGACAGATCCATAAACATTTCAGGGTGCGTGCGTGTGTGTGTGTGTGTGTGTGTGTGTGTGTGTGTGTGTATGTGTGTGTGGTGTGTGTTACTGAGGATCAAGCTCAGAGCATCACACATTCTAGGGAAGTATCTAACCACTGAGCTATATCTCCATCCTGGAAAGTGGACAGTTATATCAACATTTAATTCAACATACAATTTTCTATCTTTTTCCTTCTGAGTCAAGAAAGAAATCTGACTTTAGGAAGAATAAATCAGAGCACATACTATTGTAGGTTATTGGCTTCTTAGTTACCCTGATTACCAATAGTGGAAACACTAGAGAGCAGCAAATCACTGGGCTCCAGGAAACAACAGGCAACCTAGAGAAGTCTTGGTGAGGAAGTACATTAATCTCAACCCTTAGCCCAGCAGGCCAGTATGCTACTTAGCTGTCTGCCTGGAATCAACCTGTACCACCACCTCCATCAGCAGCCATTTCTAACAGAATGTAGATCTCCCCTGTCTTCCCTGGGCAGCAATTATGGTGAAGGAAAGTCTGCTGTGGAATAATCCTTCTGTACACTGTGAATATATATTACTCTCATTGGTTAATAAAGAAGCTGATTGGCCTACAGCAAGGCAGAATCAAGTTAGTGGGACAATCAAACAGGATACTGGGATGAAGAAGGGCGGAGTCAGGGAAACACCAGCCAGATATCAAATAGGAAGCAGGACATGTAGAAAATGAGGTAACAATCCATGAGCCATGTGGCAAAGCATAGATAAGAAATATTAATTTAAGTGTAAGAGTTAGCTAGTAACAAGCCTGAGCTATTGGCCAAGTATTTATAAGCAATATTAAGCCTCTGTGTCAGTTATTTGGGAGCAGGTGGTCAGGACAGGAAACTCCACCTACAAAAGTCTACTAGAGTCTCCTGAGATGTCCCTTGTTCTTACCTGAGATGGTCGTTCTGTCTTCTTGCTCTGGATGTCATCATGCCAGAAGATGACATCTGGGATCATTTGACCATCTTCTAACCAATGTGGAAAATGACGCTGTTGCTAAGGAGAGCAAACAGGAGAGGTGACACATCAGTCAGCTGAGGCTGTTTTGCTGTAGTAACAAAAGGTTCAGAAATGTTGGTGATGTACAATAGGAGTTCACTTCTTGCTAATGTTATATGTCCAACCATGGGAAAGCTTTGCCTGGGATGAGTTTGTGGAGTTGTATCCTATCTGGAACTTGCTGATCTCCTGGGAAAGGAAGAGTAAACAGTGAATCCTTTTACATTGACACTTGAAACTTGTTTCTGTCCTATGCTGGTTAGTTTTTGGTCAAGTTGATACATCCTAGGGTCATCTAGAAAGAAGGACCATCAGTTGAGAAAATGCCTCCAGCTGATTGGCCTGTAGGGAAGCCTGTGGGGCACATTCTTCATCAGAGATTGATGTGAGAGGGTCCAGCTCACTGGAAGCAGTGTCATCCCTGGGCAGGTGGTCGTGGATTGCATAAAAAAGCAGGTCTAGCAAGCCATGAGCAAGCAGGCCAATAAACAGTGTTCTGCCATGGCTGCTGGTCATTTCTTGCCTCCAGGTTCTTGTCATGAGCTCCTTCCCCGACTTCCCTCAGTGATAGAGTGTGACCTGAACGTTGTAAGATGAAATAAACCCTCTCCTACTCGGTACGCTTTTGGTCATTGTGCTTTATTGTAGCAATAGAAACCCTAAATAAGACAAGGATTGATGTGGGAGGGCCCAGCCCACTGTGGGCAGTGTCTCTCCTAGGCAGGTGGTCCTGAACTGTATAAGAAGGTAGCTGAACAAGCTATGGGGAGCAAGGCACTAAGCCGCATTCCTCCATGGTCTCTGCTTCGGCTTCTGTCTCCAGGTTCCTTCCCTGACTTCTCTTTAAGGTGGACTCTATAAGCCAAAACAGACTGAGGCTCTCTCCTCTCTGATGACTCTAGCTTGTGTCAAGCTGACGTAAAACTAGCCAGGGCAGAATAGGGGGTGGGGGAGGGGAGGACAGGTGTACATGTATGTGTGAGCATACATGCACAGGCATGTGTGTGTGTGTTCGTGTGCACCTGTGTGCCCATGTGGAGGCCAAGGGTCAATCAACATCGGGTATCTTCCTCAGTCACCACCCACTTTGTCTTTGGAGGAACAGTTTCTCACTGAACCCCGAGCTCACGAATGCAGCTAGCCGGTGAGCCCCAGAGACCCGCCTGTCTCTGCTTCCCCAGCTCTAGGGCTACGAACACGCACCATCGTGCCTGGCTTTTTAACAGGGGTCCCGAGAGCTGAACGCAGGTCCTCAGGCTCGCATGACGAACACTTCGCAGACTGAGCCATCTCCCGGGCCCCTGTTCAAGCTGTTTTAAATTCAATGCCCTCTTCAAAGGCCATTGGCTATTTGAACATATATATATATATATATATTGTCCTTTATCCCAGGACGCTCAAGTTCTCTGATGCCATGGATGTTGCATATTATATTGACCCCACAAATATCACACAGTGACCTGACCCTTAAGCTGGTGAGCAGCTTCAAAGAGGCCAGGGGAGTTTCTTCACAGCAAGGCTAGTTAGTGAGCAGAATTTCCAAGCCAACTTGCTGCATGTGCACCCTAGAAAACTGTCAAGACACGTGATGGCTCTTATTCACCCGGGAAGCAATCCTCCTCGCGGCTCTTCTCCCTCACCCTCTTCCGTGTGGATCTCCGGTGGGAAGAACTTGTACTTCAGGGTCACTGCTGAGAGTACTTCCTCAATGGTAATGGCCATGGGAGTCTTACCGGACCCTCCAAAATGGTTAGTCGCAAACAATAGAAAAATAACCCAATGCCAGCAGATGTAAGTGACGTGTTTTAGCAAACTGCGGAGACAGGACTGGACCTGAAGGACCTGTCCCCAGAACCTTGGCCAGTGAATTCGTCTCAAAAATGAATGAACCCAGAAAACGGGATATTCTCTCTCTCTCTCTCTCTCTCTCTCTCTCTCTCTCTCTCTCTCTCTCTCTCTTCCTCCTCCTCCTCCTCACCTCTGCCTCCCTCCCTCCCTCCCACTCTCCCTCCTATGACAGCTGGACAGCTTATATCTCTACAAATTCTGGCCTCTCTAATGGAGTCAGTTAAACATGACCAGAAACCTTTGAAACCATAAGCCAAAATAAATAACTTGGCCCTTGAAGTTATTCTTTTAGAAAATTTGACAACTACAAAAAATCTAGGAAACACCCCCATTGTCTCCCCCCACCCCACCCCCTACCCCACCACACAGACCCTGAGCTAAGCCCTGTGGGGAGCGATCAGGCTCTTCCCAGTGATGCTACACTCAGGCAGAAGGACACATTGGAATGGCCTCTCATGTCCTGTCCAGATCTTGCCCTGCTAGCTGAATGACCTTGGATGACATTTCTAAGCTCTCTAGGGACAATATACAGAGTATTGTCAACCAGGACAGCTCAGCCAAGCTTGAACTCCAGAATTTTTTTATGGGGATTCCATCACAGCATTTTCACTTGCCCATGTGGCTGAGGTCAAGCTCCAGCCTCCCCCATCCCCACCACCAGGTTAAGATGATGCTGTGTGACCCAAAGCATCAAATTGAATCACATAATTAGACTCTAGTGTAACCACAGCCTGGGGACTACACCGCCGTTGTGTGTGGCAATGTGAGGGCTTAGACGTTACCTCTGGAGAGCCATGACTAAAGGGAGTCCTCTTGCCAGGAGAGGTGGATTCTTTATTGCAGTCATTAATTCTCGTGTTATTAGGTCTAAATGTTGCCTCAATAAACCCTGCAGGCCACGGCTGTCTTATCTCACCTATTCATCACACCCTTTAATGTGGGATTGAGCCTTCAGCAATTGTTCAACAAGTAATTGATACCAGATGAGTTGAAAACTGGCATCCTTTAGCACAGCCCAGAAAGTGGAGGCCCCTTGGGCACAGGAATGGCAAGGACAAGGACAAGAATGACGGAGAGAGAAGCTTGGAGGGAGAATGTTGGGATGGGGAACAATTGATGCATTTTGAATACACAGGCAATCTTTCTAAAAATTTAACTTCAATTGCATTTTTTAATTTTTTTTTAGTAAGTCTGTGTTCACATATTCAAATTCAAAACTTCCAAATTAGATGCAATGAGAAGTCTCTCCCAGATGGGCAATGTTAAATGAAATTCAGAGATGGGAACATCTGTTTGTTTACACTCCCCCCCTCCGACAAATATTCTGCTCCCCAGAACGATGTGAGCAGATATTGTTAATGATTTGCTTTTACCGAATGAGCTGCATATAAATAAACAACCATCTATATTTTAAGCTCTCTGTCCTGAGCTCTGCTGGGTGACGTAGGGTTCTTAAGAAAACACTTAACCCAGGCTCAGTGTCACACGGCTGTGATTCCAGTATTTGGAAGGCTGTAGTGGGGAGATCTTACATTCAAGGTCACCTTGGACAGCAGAGTACCAGAGAGCGTGGTCTCCATAGCAAGGAGTCCCTGTCTCAAAAGAAAAAAGAGATGGGGAGGGGAGGGAGGAAGAAATAGGCTTTTCTATTCCAGCAGTCAACTTTAGCTGACACTTGCTGTGTGTCGTGACTGACATGTGACACCTTCCTTAGGATGATCAGAGATCATCTGTCCCTAGAGCAAGATTCTAAGCCACACACGGCCTCAACAAGGCTCTTCCTCTGACCAGCTTAGCCTTGTTGTCATTTTGTAAAAATGACATGTTGTCCATCATTGATGCCCCTTAGAGGCCTCCAGACCACTACAGCCTTTCAACTATTTACCCGACAAGTAGATCAGCAACATTCTAACTCGGTTTGTCTCCAGGAAGCCTGGTAAGGGGCTATTAGTCAGAGAGAGTGTGTCTGGATTGAAGCATGTGGGTTAACAGGGACCAACTGTTGCAAACAGTGAACCGGTCCAGCTGGCAGAGAGCAGTAGAGACTCTGATCACAACGACCTGCTTGTCTGGAAACCTGGAGCATGTGTGTGTGTGGAAGCAGGGAGGTTGCTATATAGAAGACATTGCCCTCATGCCGGTCCCGCCTCCTGGCATCGATCTTCAAACCTGGCGGCAACCATGCATCTTCTGTCTTTTCTCACAGCCAACGCCAGGAGAACAGAAAGTACAAAAACCAAATCCGCCAGGGTCCCTGGACCTGTCTCCCTTCGGCCTTTCTTCTAATCCCTCGGAGATGCCTTTCATAGTGTTGTTGGGTGCTCTGTCAGGCACCAGCAGACATTAGCTGCACCTTGACCTCACAGTCTGAAGGGAGCCATGGGGACCCCACCTCAGTTTGTTTTCCGGCTTCGTGGTCAAGCCCACAGCTCTGACAGGTTTACCATTCACGAGCACCACTTACGGGGTGGTCTGAATTACAGATGTGATGGCTTACAGCTCTGGGGACCAGACACCTGAGATCATGGTGTCTGCAAGGCTGGTTCCTTCTGGGGGTTGAGGGGAGAGTGGGTCTCAGGCCTGTCTCTGGTTCCTGACCAGGTGCTGACACTTTTTTTTTTTTAATATTGGTCTCCACTTTCATCAACTCAGGTATAGTGGTTTGAATAAAGATGGCCCCCATAGGCTCATATTTTTGAGTGTGTAGTCACCAGAGAGTGGCACTATTTGAGAAGGATTAGGAGATATGGCCTTGTTGGAGGAGATGTGACTTTGTTGGAAGTATGTCGCTGGAGGTATGCTTCAAGGTTTTAAAAAGCTCAAACCAGGGCCAGCGTTTCTCCTGCCTGCTGCCTGTGGATCAGGATGTAGCTCTCAGCTACTTCTCCAGCACCAGGCCTGTCTGCCTGCTGGCATGCTCTCTGCCATGATGGTCATGGACTCACCTCTGAAAAGTAAGCAAGCCCCCAATTACATGCTTGCTCTGTAAGCATTGCCTTGGTCATGGTGTCTCTTCACAGCGATAAAATAGTGACTAAGACACCAGGCATGCTCCTGTGAACAGATCGGTCTCTGTACCCAAGTGTCCCCTTTTGTAAGGATGCAGGCCTTTTGAAATCGAGCCACTCTGCTCCAGTACAAGTTTAATGGCTCCATGTCCAATGTAGTCACATTCTGTGTTCCTGTGGGTTTAAATTTCAACATTTGAACTTTGGAGAGACAAGCCAGGTCAATACACCAGGTGAGCAACACAGGCAGGCTTCTCAGGTTCAGACTATAGTTTTGTTTTGTTTTTAATTAGGAGATAAGCTGTAGGT